CCACTTCAGCACTGGCTTCACGATCGGGTCCCCAGACGCGCATGGCACGCGGGCACACACCGGGTCTCGGTTACTGCGCTGTGTCGCCGCGCCCTCAGCCCTTGGAACGACCCCTCGTTCCTACAGGCCGGTGTGCCTCTAGGACAGGCGTCCAGCCATGTTGTTGTTTCAACAGACGCTTCCAACACGGGTTGGGGGGCCGTGTGTCGCGGGCATGCGGCTGCGGGCCTCTGGAAGGGTGCCCAGCTGCATTGGCATATCAATCGCCTAGAGCTGTTGGCAGTGTTCCTCGCTCTCCACCGCTTTTTACCGGTGCTGGAGCGGCAACACGTGCTGGTCAGGACGGACAGTACGGCGGCGGCGGCGTATATCAACCGCATGGGGGGTATGCGCTCTCGCCGCATGTCTCAGCTCGCCCGCCGTCTGCTCCTCTGGAGTCACCCGCGGCTGAAATCGCTGCGCGCCATTCACATCCCAGGCACGCTCAATCGTGCAGCCGATGCGCTCTCACGACAGCTGTTACGCCCTGGAGAATGGAGACTCCACCCCGAGTCTGTTCAGCTGATATGGGCGCGATTCGGGGAGGCCCAGATCGATCTGTTTGCTTCCCCCGAGAACGCTCACTGCCAGTTGTTTTTTTCCCTGACCGAGGGCTCTCTCGGCACGGATGCACTGGCCCACAGCTGGCCTCGGGGCATGCGCAAGTATGCGTTTCCCCCAGTGAGCCTGCTCGCGCAGTTTCTGTGCAAGGTCAGGGAGGACGAGGAACAGGTTCTGCTAGTTGCGCCCCTTTGGCCCAACCGGACCTGGATATCAGAGCTCTCACTCCTCGCGACGGCCCTCCCCTGGCGGATCCCTTTGAGAGAGGACCTACTCTCTCAGGGACAGGGCACCATCTGGCACCCTCGCCCCGATCTTTGGAACCTCCACGTGTGGTCCCTAGACGCGAGGAAGACTTAGGTAACCTACCGACTGCGGTGGTTAATACCATCACTCAGGCTAGAGCCCCCTCCACGAGGCGCGCCTACGCCCTGAAGTGGAGTCTATTCACTGAATGGTGCGTCTCTCGCAGAGAAGACCCCCGAAATTGCCAGATTAGTGTTGTGCTCTCTTTCCTTCAAGAGAAGTTGGACAGCAGGCTGTCGCCCTCCACTCTCAAGGTTTACGTGGCCGCCATCTCCGCTTATCATAGCGCGGTAGCTGGCGGCACCGTGGGAAAGCATAACCTGGTCATCCAGTTCCTTAGGGGTGCTAGGCGAATTAATCCATCTCGCCCCCCTCTCATGCCCTCTTGGGATCTCGCCCTCGTTCTCACGAGTCTGCGATCCGATCCCTTTGAGCCACTCGAATCAGTATCTCTAAGATTTCTGTCCCTGAAGACAGCTCTGCTGGTTGCGTTGGCCTCCATCAAGAGGGTCGGGGACCTGGAGGCATTTTCGGTCAGTGACTCGTGCCTGGAATTCGGGCCGGATTACTCTCACGTTATCCTGAGACCCCGCCCCGGTTATGTGCCCAAGGTTCCTACCACCCCCTTTAGAGATCAGGTAGTGAACCTGCAAGCGCTGCCCCCGGAGGAGGCAGACCCAGCCCTTTCTTTACTTTGTCCAGTTCGCGCTCTGCGCATTTATGTGGACCGTACTCAGAATTTTAGATCATCTGAGCAGCTCTTTGTCTGTTATGGCGGTCGGCAGCAGGGAAGTGCCGTATCGAAACAAAGATTATCCCACTGGATTGTGGATGCCATTTCACTCGCTTATTCGAGTCGAGGTCAGCCGTGTCCCCCGGGAGTACGTGCACACTCCACTCGGAGCGTTGCATCCTCTTGGGCGCATGCACGCGGCGCCTCTCTAACAGACATCTGTAGAGCTGCGGGCTGGGCGACACCCAACACATTTGCAAGGTTTTACAATCTGCGAGTGGAGCCGGTTTCCTCAAGGGTATTAGGTAACCCTTTGGTGATTGAGGAGACAACTCGGTAGGGTGTTGAAACACGCTTGCTGCGCCATTCTCCCTAACACGGAGGTACGTGCGCCTTTTTTATCTGTCAGTAAAGTTCCCCGTCAGGTGAGCCCTGCAGATTCCTCCGTGGCCCCCAGCACTGACTCAGCGGAGGAGTCACTTGCTGGCCCACTACGTTGTAGGTCTGCCCGCTGGTCAGCCCGCGTTTTGGGTATAGGTGCCTGCTATGCGTGATCCCCACTAGGCGATCCCATATGCTTATTCCGCCACGGTTAAGTCCCCCCCCTGGGCGGACCCGTGTCTTCCCTCTCCGCTAACCACTCTTTGCTATGCGTACTCCCCCTTTTTAGGGCTAGTCCATAGGTAAATTCTGCCATCTATCCCCCCCTTGGGTAACGGATGGCCTCCGCAGCGTCCTCCCTATCGGGATTGCACGCTTCCCAACGTACTGTCGTATTTCCTAGAATTATCTAGATGCTCACGACTTCCCAAAAAATATATCTAAATCCGTAAAACTTCTGTTGAAGTAGGATAAATTAGGGCCAGGGACACGTTGGAGGACCGCGCCCCCCATGATGTGGGTGCGTCACGCTTGCTTGACTATCTCCTCATCGGGGGTGTTGGTAAGGTGCAGTCATTATGGCGCTTTCCATATTCTCCCATTCATGGCACTGAAGTTCCCCAACCGAAGGGGAACGTTCGAGGTTACAGAAGTAACCCTTCGTTCCCCGAGGAGGGGAACGGAAGTGCCATATTCCGTCGCCATAATGACTGTCCCTTAGCTGTTTGAAAGTCTCTTCAGCTTAAAAGGATGGCGTCTGCTGGCTTCAGGTGTGCTTATATGCTGAGATGATTGCAGATGTCGCACACCTGCGCAAGCTTACGCTGCCAATTAATTTCATTCATTGGCCCGTTCAATACTCTCCAGATAAGCGGCTTCTGATCCGAATCCTCCCATTCATGGCACTTCCGTTCCCCTCCTCGGGGAACGAAGGGTTACTTCTGTAACCTCGAACGTTCTCCATGATGGTGACGTAAAACTTTAACTTTTTTCTCAAGAAGAACTTTAGTAAATGTTATACAAAAATAAATGTATTAAGTAATAAGTGTAGCTGGTGATGATGTTTGTAGAGTTTTTATCATCCGCTGATCATTTAAATGATTTAATCATTTGTTGAGGTTATTTCATTATAATGCTGTGACTAAAGTTGTAGTTTTTTTGTATGTTCTGTTCTTGTTTTTTTCCCTTCAGTATTTCTTCATTTGTTCATTGCTAATCCTCAATTATCTTTTAATTAGTCATTTAATTAATTCATTTACTTCAGCTTTGCTACATGTTTCTTAAACACTTAGTAGTGTGGACACTTTCATTAAATATGGGGTATTTGCTCTGTGGTTTAAAGGATTAAATGTATGAGAGTTAAAAACACAGTGTAAAATTTTTTTTTTAACAGGAATATACTGTTAATTTAAACTACGGAAGTAGACTGTAAAAAAACAGTAGATTGCTGGCAACCACAGCTGCCAGTAGTTTACCGTTAAATCAAGGAAAAAACAGTATTTTACTGTAAAACCTGAAGCAAATTTCTTCTGTGTGTCACCGTTGTGGAGGAGAGTAGAGCCAGTGTATGAGTTAAAGACGAACAATGAACTGCTGATGTTATTCTTTCATAAATAAAGTTTCTTTATGTAAAGATAGTGGCTGCTCAGTTGCTGTTGCAGTCAGAATCTCGCTGTGTTAATTCCAACTTTACATGTATGTGTGCTGATGTTAAATTTAAGACATTTGAGTCAAACAGAACTTTTCTAATTAACTAAAATAAGTTATCGTTAAAAGCATGCTTCTATAGCACATTACTTCATAAACTCATACAGCAGTTGGCAAGTTTGAGGCAGTTGCTTTCAGTAAACAAAATGAGTTCACTTGAGTGTTGTGAATTTCAATGTAGTCCATGTATTTTTACAGCAACATACTGTAAAATAACAGTACATTGCTGGCAACTGCAGCTGCCAGTATTTTACCGTTTTTTAACGGGACAATTTTTAACAGTGATATTAAATATCTTACAAACAAATGCTTTTTTGAAATGGGCAGAATGTTTTGACTTCTGAAATTTTGGTATTTTGCACCAAATAAATTAAAGTAACAATTCACAGTATTGACTATTGGCTTATTACATGGCTTATTAAGTGTTTATTATTAAGATTTTAACTGTTTTAGTACTCAACTGTTTGAGTACCTCAGTACTCTGATAGAATTTGTCATTTTGAACTCCAGCCACCCAAGCCATAGACTTTTCTCTCTGCTACCCTCAGGCAGACAGTCTGCAGCATCCGGTCACGCACTAACCGGCTGAAGGAAAGCTTCTTCCCTCAGGCTAATGAACACTTAACACACCCACACACAGACTCTTCCTTACCCCTCACTGCACACCATCAATATGTAGCATGCACTGCACTTTAATCAATCCATACTTGAAACAATACTGCTTACAACTATGTGGACACCTATTCATTGTACATATAGCTGTCAATTTTACATTGTCCTGTTTTTTGGGATTATGTTGTTGTATTTTGCACTGTCTGTATTTTGCACGTGCTGCTGATGACGTGACAATAAAAGTTATATGATTTGATTTTAAAGTATGATCTTATTCTACATCAGTAGTCAGCAAAGTTGTACTGTAGTTTAGTAAGCAAACAGCCTTAGGTAAGGGTTGGTTTGTAGCATGAATTGTACATCTTGTAAGTCACACTTCATTTTAAGGTACTGCACAATTCTCACTATTTATAAAACATTACCTAAGATGTCTGGCTCAATAAACTCCTAATTCGCTGGTTATTTATAGTGAAGGTATTAGTCAGCTTTTGGTAGGATTAGGGACATAGAATAAGTTCTTGTAGAATATGTACTTCATAAGTACTAATAAACAGCCAGTGTATTAATAGTAGGCAGGTAAAAGCCACCAGTTAATGATAAGAATTGGTACTTAAATTAAAGCTCTTTTGACAAAAGTGCTCTTCTCTCTTTATCTTTTCAGGTTTCGTCAGGTGCTGATGGAGAATGAACCGGAGGTGCAGGAGGTTTCCGGTCTCTTCCGTTCTGTGCTTGTGGAAAGCCTTGAGCGCGTTCACGAGGAGCAAGAGGCTCAACGTTTGACCCAGCAATGGAGCAACAGACGCTCTATAAGCCTATCGCTGATGAGCTTCAGGTCAAGAGTGCGGATCAACCCTTTCGGCAGCACATTGGGACTGAAATCAAACAGCTATGGCTCAGAGGAAGACGGGGTAGATGTCAAGACTGTGTGTGAGGATGTGGAGAAGGGTCAGACAGCAGAGAAAACACAACGTGTGTGGAGCATGCCGGAGTTTAGACACAAGGGAATCAACGGGAAAGCTTAAGTGTCTATGAGTATGTGGGATTCAGTCAGATCTGATCTGGTCAGCGGCTATCTGATATTCCCAGCATCGTTTTTTAGTTTATATCTTGAGGTGTGTGTATGTGTGTGGAGGTATGCTTATGTTGGGAAATAACAAGCTCATTAAGCAAAAGCATTGCAATGTAAATCTGCTACAAGGACTATGGATTAAACACTCATAGCTTTTTGCATGTGCAAAGGTAGGACACCAGATATACTATATTGTCAAAAGTTTTGGGACATCTGTCTTTACATGCACATGAATTTTAATGACATCCTAATCTGAATACGTAAGGTTTATTGTGGAGTTGATTTGCCATTTAAAGATATAATAGCTTCAACTTTCCCGCTTTCCACAAAGTTTTGGAATGTGTGTTCAGTTGGGTTAAGGTCAGGACTAGTCAAACTTTTCCACACCAAACTTGGTCATCCACGTCTTTATGGACCTTATTTAGCAACATTTTGCATCATTCTAAAAACATAGTCCTATATAAATTTCTGGAGATCACCAGAAGTATGTATGGCTGCATTTTATTTTTAAAATGAACACTATGGGATTGGTATGACATCATTGCTTTTTGCGCTTACCCGCTGACTGCTAACCTCCAAATGGATGGCTTTCCCGTTGTTACCAGTCAGCTCACCATGGTTCCAGAAAGCAGGTAAGACAAAAACAGAAGCCAAAAAATAAAAACAAAGAAACAAGTAAATAACAGTGTGAGAATGTGGTAAAATCTGAAAACGTAAAAATCAGGCAAGGGCTTTTCTTTTTCTGGATTGCTTTTCAAAACTGTCCATTGGGTTAAGGGAAGTGGGCGGGTGGGTCAATCAGTGCTTTAGAAAACAGTATTGGTTGGGTTTAGGGAAGAAGGAGGTTGGGTCAGTCGACCAATCAGTCAGTCAATATCAGCTTTTGATGGATTTACACGAGACAAGCAGGTGCGAATGGCACTCACAAGAGAAATTTGAGATCTCAAAAAGAATACACAGTGGCTTCTGGTGGATTTGCAAAAACAAAAACTGCAATCAAATGTATCTCCTGTGATGTGTATATCTCCCGAAATGTTTTCAGAATAAGCCTGGGTTGTTATTTTGTGCACTGATGAGCAGTCATGTTGGAACAGTAACATCCCTAAACTGATTCCACAAAGTTTAGAGTAGGAAATTGTTCAAAATGACTTGGTATGCCGAAGCATGAGGAGATTTCTTCACTGGAACCAAGCAAACTTTACACTTGGCAAAATATAGTCAGGCAAGTACAATTTTCCTGGCACCTGCCAAACCTAGACTCATTCATGAGAATGCCAGACAGAGAAGCATGATTGGTCACTCCAGCTATCTTGTCTCCAGTGCTCTAGACTCTGCGACAGCCTGTTTTACACAACTGTATCCCAATTTTTGCATTGCATTTGTTTTGGTTTAGATGCAGCTGCTCGAACATGAAAAACCATTCCTGAAGCTCTCTAAGACTGTTGTTGAGCGCATCTGAAGGCCATATAAAGTTTGGAGGTCTGAATCTGCAGACAGTTGGTGACTACTGCCCACTGTGCAGCTCAGCATGCATTAACCTCACTAATTTTACATGGCCTACCATTTTAAGGGTTGTGCTCCCAATTGTTTCAACTTTGTTATAACACTACTTTTAGGGTGCTTTCACACTTGCAATTTTGGTCCACATCTGGGTTCGTTTGATAGTGTAAACGTGTCTTCTGAACTTGGGTAAACTTTAGAACCATGAGTTCACCTAAAAGAGGTGGCCTGGGGTACGATTTGTGCAAACTGGTACGATTTACTTCTGATATGAATGCAATCATACCAAATACCAGAAGTAAACCACCAACTGTACAACAAACTTGAGTTCTCATAACATTCATTCACATGTGTATGTCTGCGTATCACCTATCTTGGCCTATCTGTCTGCTTATCTCCACCAAAAATGACCTCTGCAGACATCACACGATGTTCTGAAGATTTTTAATGTTTTTAAAAGGTATGCGGAAGTCTCCATTATGGCGCTTTGCTTTTGTGGCTGTCACCTAGCAACAGCTGTACACAAAACAGCAGCTTAATGACGCAAGCGTATCGGGGATCAGAAGGAAAAAAGATGTGTGAACTGTGTTAATACAAATGTGCTCATGGAGCTGATCAAACACCTGAGCTCAGTGATTTAGAGGATGTGCACCAAAACTTTTGGCAATCACTCATATACAATTTCTATAAAAGTTTATTCTGAAAAACTGCAACTGCTTGTTTTATTCCAAAGAATTGGGACTGTATGACCCTTCTGTTTTAAAATTGTTGCAGAATTTTAGTCCAGTGGTACTTTTGTATCATTTCTCCATTTGTCAGATGAGGCAAACTTGTATTTTGGTGTCGAAATGTTCAAATGCTTGTGATTGCGAGATACTTCTTACTGTCTGACATTCTTGTTGTCAACAGATGTTGAAGTATGCAAGCAATGAGGTGTTTGCACATATATTAATCATTTGAGTTACAATCAATTAAACAGTAGAATGTAAGGGCATGCACTATAAAAGACAGTGAATGTTTTAATTTTATCATGCTAAGAGACTAACGCACATTTGTTTCTAAAGCTTGTGATTTTGAGACATTGTAACATTGTACATTGACATTGTAACCCTGTTTGGTAACAAATACAACAAATCTTGTATCCACTGATTGGTATACTGTATATGTCATGTATACCGTTCATAATCTTTTAAAATACTAAATGAATAACCTTTCATCACTTGAAGATTTTTTTTTTGTCTGCACATAATTTGTTGCTATAGTCCTTGTTTGTACTCCAGAAATTTACTGAAAAATACCTGTTTTCTTTTCCCAGGAAATCTATCTGAATATTGGCGATAAATAGAAGTATAGAAATTTAGCTTGGTCTGTCACACTTTATTTAAATGGTCTGTTTGTTTAGTTTAAGTTAAGGTACATGCCAACTAATTATCATTAGTAGATTGTTAGTTGAGGGTTGGTGTAAGTTGACATGTACTTGCAAAGTTTCTTATAAACAGTTAAAGGTCTGTTGAAGGAGCAGTATCAACAGATAGACAAGCAGGCAGTCTACTAATTCTCAAATGGACCACCAAAATAAAGCATTAACCCTTGGTCTAATATTTTTTTTAGTGAGAATGTCTGTTCCCCCAGTACCACCACTGGTTTTTCATTTTGAAATAACAAGGAGATAATGGCATTTGGCTGTATTGAGGATGGAAAATTGATTTATCCCACTTTTAATTTCCTGTTTCAATGTTAGCAAGACAGTAAAGAGAAGGCAAAGGGTGTCTAATACATCTCCTGTATGGTCAATGTCCTGCAAAGTTCAGCTTTAACCTGCTTCCACATATTTGTCTGAAAGTTTCTAGGTCAATCCTGTTCCTGGAGGCACACCAAGGCTGCGTCTGAAAGCTGAAAACGCTGTAGGAGGGCACATCCAAATTCTAATCTTATTTTTTTTTGTCTCCCGAGATGCCTTCATCTAATCAATTTTTTTTGTAGGCAATGTAAATGTACTTTTGTTGCCTTTGATATCTTATAATCCTTCTATTTCTGATGTTTGAGCTCAAATATTCAAGATGGCATCTGAAAGCTGTGCATTGTGCATTTTTGACCAACTTTTAATGTAACTTCTAGATGTAAATGAGTACATATTGATGACAAATATTCACTAAACTTGCTATAAATAAACTTTAAAAAGTCGTTCTGAAATCAATGTAGTTAAGTGCCCTAAAGGAACAATTAACTTTTTGGTTGGGATTTTTATTTTTCGTTTTACAGCTCCTCAGAGTTAAACAGTTGAGTTTTTACCATTACCATTAGATTTTACCATTAGCATCTAAAATAGCTTTAATAATTTTCCTATTTAAAGCTTGATTATTCTTTTAATATAGATGGAAAGTAAAAAGATGCTATTTTCATACTTATACATTACGCTAAAAACAGTATGTGAGCTAAGTAGTATGTCCGAATTCATATGCTGCATCCCAATTCGCATACTGTCCATCCAAAATAGTATCTGAGAATAGAATTAGTCCCAAATCATAGTATGTTGAAAGAGTGTGCTAAAGGTTCTCGTATAGTTTACTATTTCCGGTAAGTTTAAATTGTAGAAGCGTCTATACAATGACCACTGTTATTGCCCACAGTACATCGTGCGTTAGAAGTGAATTCAATTTAATCTACAACCACAGGTGAAAAGTGTAAATAAACTGCAAACATGGTGGAAGTGCGAGACCACCCGTCAAGTAGAGAGACTTCGGTAGAGATGTTTGTATCTGTTAATTAATAGCTAGCTCACTGGAACATATTTAAATTTTGCATTCTGTTTTATATTTCATCAGCAACAGCAATACTGAACTTATATAAAGACATGTTTGGACATTAACGTCTGAATAAATAGTTATCCAAAGACTTGAGGAGATTACTCTGCATAAAAGACTCACGAATGGCAGATTATCCTGCTGCTGCTTCTCCAATAAGATTAAATATGACAGAAATGTGGATGATGTGTGAATGATTAACAGGGCTCGTAATCAAGCAATATAACAATCTGTAAACAAGGAAGTAGTTTGTGCCAAAGCTTGCACACTCTTCTGTTACACACTCAAAAGCATATACTTTTTTTTTCTTTAAAAAAAGTACAAACTTTTATGGCATAGTGTAAGTATACGAATTGGGACGCAGCAACAGAATTAAAAAAACTGTATGCAAGAAGTACCCAAATGACTTACTACTTCTGGCGAGATTCTGAAGAGCAGCATGCATCAGATGTGCACTATCCCATAATGCCACGTGAAAGAATTCATTAATAGGAGTGAAGCAATGCAACTGACGTGGGTAGGTCATCTGATCATGACAAAATGGGGGATGTAGTACGCCCGAGTTACATTCATACTACTTACTTTCATACTGTATAGGACAAACTTTTCTAACGGTTGAGTAGTATATTTAAATTTAAATGCAGTACCTACTAAGAAGTTGGACACAACCACAGATACACATGCCACTTAAGCAATTCAAAGCCAGAAATAATGATTAAGACAACTCAACAGCACTTTAAATGTTAGCGGGAAATGGAAGTTTTTAAATTTTTAGTACTGATTGTTACCAAGATTCAGTATCGTGACAACACTACTAGTTACCTAGCTGTCAACTATTTTCAGGTGCGGCATAACATACTGTAGTTGCACCTGCAGCAGCCATGGTACCGCAGTAAAGTTCTTTAATTATTATGCCACTTTTCATGTTTAAGTGAGATGCTAATGGTCTAATCTGATTCAATGACCTATGCTAAGCTAAGCTAAAAGTGCTGCCGACATACCTGGAGATCTGCTGAATGATTTAAAAATCGGTAAAAACCATGTTTTTAACTCTAGGGGACTTGTAAAATAAGCCTATTTTTCAAAAAAGTGGAGTGTTCTTTTAATCGAAGATACTCCAATAAATAGGACACAAAAAAAATCTGCAAAGTCTGAATACATTTTTTAAAACACTTCTTCTGTTAAAAAAAAAAAAAAAAACATTACAAACTATGGATGACATGATAGTGCAGTGGGTAGCGTGTTTGTGTGTATATATCCTGGTCCTCCAGGTTGGGAGTTCAGCGCTGGGATAACAACCCACCTCTAAAAAACTAGATATTAAACACCAAAAGGGTGTGGCTAAATATCAACTTCAATATAAAATGGCCCTGCGACTAATTAAGTAAGTATTACAAACTTTCAGATGGCATCAAACCTCTTTTAATACACAAAGACACAGATTGTAAGTTTATTTAACAGTATTGTCATCAGTACGGTAGGATGCACGTGACTCAAAGGCAGATTATCAGCTGCTCATCTACACAGTAAATACACAGATTATCAGGGATAACAAGAAAAACACAACTGCAAGGACACAACCACGAATGCCGATTCAAAGATTTTCCAAAAAGCTTCACATAGAAATATAATGTAAAACCTTCATGAATCAGCCGCTCAGACATTAATCCTCTTTCTGCATCTTTTAGAACAAATCCGGACCGATTCATTCTTGCTTACTGGAGATATGCATTTAAAAATAAAAATACAAGAATACTTATTTTTCTTTTACAATTTCAGTAACATGTAACAATGTTACATCCAAGCTACAGTTCTATTGGGGTACAATTAAGATGTAAAAATACAAATGTTTCAGTTTATATAGTCTGGAATAATAATAAAAAACTAAAATAAAAGCAACTGTTGTCAACATAAATGATTAATGTTGAGGATCTGTCCATGTATAATTTCAGGCAACAATATTATTGTTTCAAGATGGTCTTTCCCTGAGTGACTGTCAGGTGAATAATGCAAACAAACAAAATAATAACAATGGTTCTGGGTCTGGACTGAATCAGTAGGTGGAGTTTAAGAAATCCAGCAGCTCCGCTCTGTTCTTATCCCTCTGTTTTAAAGAAAAGAAACAGGTGATTAAGATTAAAACTTAAAAACACTTATGAGAATAAAACAAGAAAAAATTACCAGACAGACAATATCTATTAAAAATAAAATAAATAAATAAATTAATTAATTAATATAAAGTTAAAATAAAGACTTGTACGATCTCTATTATGATCAAAAGCCTCTATAAAACATAAGATAAAATGAGATAAAGTAAAACATTACAAAGTAGCATTACACAGAAAAATTAAGAACAGTATACATTTTTATATATTGTTCAATATTTTAGAATCAGAACATTGAACGACTTTCGAGGGCCTATTTTAAGGCTTTTTTCTTCCATTTTAAAATACAAAAACAGAACAGAACACTGTACATGGAGTGTATAATGTATTCATGTGAATGTAAAAGGTCTGCAAAGATACAAAAAAAAATGTGTGTGAGAAATAAAATAAAACACTCATGAAGAAAGATTTAATACAGAACTGCTGAAATGGGTTGCCGGGAATCCCAATTTCAATTTTTCACAGATCTATGTAAAACTAGGACATTTGCACAAAGTCTTGAGCCTCAAATACTTTATCTACTTAATATCTTGTGAATGCATTATCTACATCATGTGAAGAAGGTACATTTATTGTAGGCAAGGTATACAGCAACCAAGGAGGTAACATTTACATCATTAAAGGCCTTTTAAAGATGCTTTTATCCATTAAGACCTTCGCCATTGGTTAAGTCAAAGACACTTTAACCTATGTTGACAGTGAAATGTTTTTTGTAAAGAAAATTGATAGTACCGTTGTACTATACATTGTATATAAAAAAAGCATATTGTTTCATAAAATGATTTATTGTTATGGCCCAATCCCAATTACATTTTTTGTACCCCTTCACCGAAGGCATATATTATGTTATTATGAAAAAATAATGTGGCAGTAAGATCGTAACTGTACTGTGCATTTACACCATAGCCATATTTATCTATTTTAAACACAAGAAACAACATTAACATTATAGCAGACACGGTAAAAATGTCATTCCCAGCCACTAGACTTTTCTGACAGGGTATTCCACTGTCATCGAGTGTCAGAATGTTGTGGAACTGCTGTACAGGAGTTATTATCATGGATTATAGATAACGAAATTTAGCAGTTTTCATTTCATTTTTTTTTTTCTTAAATCATTTAACATTATTTTAGCATTTTATTATTTTTTTTTTTACACGAACGCTAGTTTATTTTTGCTAATAGTTGTAATAATGACTAAAAACACTAATTTGTGCATCTCCTTATATCCGGGTGCAGATATACTGCTGAAATTTTGGTTTTGAGTGTCGTCCTGAAAAATCTTAGTTTGAAAGGGTATCTAGCCCTTGCCCTTAGCCCAACGCCTTCAAGCAAAAGAGAATTAGGACAAGGGGAAAGGCTAAGAATTGGGATTGGGCCTATATCATGAGACTAGTTGTATAGGTGTTCAGAAGCAACTCTTAACAACCTAAATGATATTTTGACAATATGAACAAAATGACCAGAAAAACTACATGGATAAATTCACCACATATTGCATACGGGCCCTGAGGATGCGTCCATACCATCACCATATTGGTACAGTGCTCCCAGGACAAAAGTCATTCAACCGCACTTATGAAGATGATAGACTTTTGCGATGTGTACGGGTGTAGTAACAAGCAAATATGTAACACTTTAGTTTTGGGGGTAGAACTGCATTTATATCTTAACGAATCAACTTACATTATATGGATTTAGGATAGCAAAGTAATTGATTGTTAAAATACTGTAAAATAGTTTTTTAATCGTAGTTACAATTTACATTTTTCTGATTTACTCACCCACTGTCAAAAAGTACATTTTTGACTGTCCTTTTTCTGAAAACAAATATAGATTTTTGTTGGAATCATTCTATTAAATGTTTTAAACCTCCAAACTGTAACTTTGCATCATTTTTGAGTTAATGCTTTAAAAGTTCGAAATTCAATTCAGGTTTCTTATGCTCAAACATGTCATTTCCATAAGCATGTAGCATTATAATACACTTATTTTTACTTTTTCTTTCTAACTTTCTTTTTAATTTCTAACTTTGTCATTGCCAGCCAATCTGCAGTCCTGCATATGAGATGATGGAGACTGACCCAGACTGGGCACCATCTCTACATCTGGGCCACACAGACACTACACAGACAGACACTGCACACTGTGCATGACAAATTGCGAGGGGGAAAATAAAACCAACACTGCAGTCAGCTGAAGATGTGGACGAATAACATGCTGAGAAGGAGACACGTGAGGTTGAAGATGGTTAGAGACACTTATGAGACACACAACACTAAAGAGGTAGCCGAGACAAACTGAGGGTAAATCGTGTATAAGTAAACCGCCTGTTGGAGGAGAACTGACAGCTGCTGTGTGAACTTGAAGAATACAGGATGTCTGATAGATTTTGAAACAAGAATGATGCTGAAGTCCCAAACAGTAAAAAAAACACAATCTTAATAACAAGCACTGACCCATCAACATGATACTCCCTTGTGAAGGTGCAGATGTCACATTACAGCATAGAACTATAACTGTCTGTTGTGCACAAACAAACCAATGTCCAACTGTAGTGTAGAAAAGCTGTAGTTGTCAATAAGAGTTTAAAGCCCAGGTGTATAAATGCATTATGTGCTGAATTGATATATTCTTTACAAATTCCCTTACTTTTTTTTGTTTCTTTCACTGTGTGTATGATGTTTTATCCTGTCTTATGTAAAAAAATATAATGCCTTCCTTCAGAAATTTCTTTTCCCTCGGTGCCTGAATAAAAATATAATTTGTACAAATAAAAATACATGGGGGATGACTTACAATTTGTTAACTCATTTATTGTTCTTCACAGTAATAAAACTGGTACATCAAAACCAAACAGAAGGTAAGCAGTAACTACTTGAACTAAATAATCCTTTAAAGAACTGAGACCAGTGTTTTTGCTCAAAGTTAAACATTAGATCAGTCAGAAGTTTAAACTAAACAGATATTCACCCACAAATTTAAAGTGACTTACTATTTACTTTCCAGCAAGTGGTCCTAAACCTTTGATTTTATTTTTTCTCTTTACACTAATAAAGATATCACAAAGAAGGATAAAAATCTGTAACCATTAACTCCATAGTAAAAAAAAACAACAACAAATACAATGGAATTCAATGGTTACAGGTTTTCAGCTTTTATAAAATATCTGTACTTGTGTTCACCATATCTTAATATTTGGGTGTATTATTTTTTGTTCTGTTGCTTTCATTACATTTATTGTTCATATCTGTAAAATGCTTTGGATACAAACATCTGTCCAATAGTTTGTAAATGTATATATTAGATGTAACTAATAAAATAAAGCGGAAAAACTGCAATATATAATTAAAAAAACTTACTTTGATTTAATGGTGTTCAAACTAAAACAACGTATATTAAGACATTGATGATATATACAGTATGACATGTCATTATTATCAGCGATGAGGGGTTGGCGGCAGTGCACTACGTTGGTTTGCAGTTAATTCAAACGGATCTATATCCTGAATGTAAGACAGTTTATCAAAATGACGATCCCTGGCATCTTTATTTAGTTTATTGCGGTACCATGTACTCTCGATTTTCTTGTACTTCTCCACCTTGACCTTTTTACGGCATGTATCTCTTGTGTTATGTGTCTCTCAAGTTGTCTCGGGAAGCAATACCTCAAAAATGGCGCAGGTGTGACACACAGACAACAAAACCACGTGACTGACAAAGACCGATTATCAAGTCTAGCATACAATCTTGATGAACTCACCTGCTTGTCCTTCTTTGACTTTTTTACTTTCATTTTAATCTTTTTTCCTGAAATCATGCTGTACTTGCCACTTTTCTTCTTTTCCTTAAGATACTGGGGATGACAGATATTTTAGGATTACTTTTTTCTTTTAAACATTGGCAATCATTACAAATGAAAGGACAAATGAAATAAAAAGGACATGTTTCCATCAAAAGATGCTAATGAGATTTATGGGCAAAACTGAATAAAACATTTGCGAAAAAATCAGTCAAAAAAACTAAATAGTCACTACCTGGTAAACTTAAATATTATAAAATAAAATATTAAATAAATAAGCCTTAAATATAAAAAAGAAAAATGGAATTCGCTGCGGAAGCCACTGCAGCCATTTTTCCTTTATATGTAATTAACCGTTTGTTGTTATCACGTGGTCTGTTTTCAATTTTCATAAAAAATCTTGGAATAATTTTTTTTCTGATGCACATGCTGGAAAATGGTAAATGTGTTTCCTTGGTAGCATTTTTCTTCTACTCAGTGGTGCGCATTTCCTAAATTTATGCAGATCTTGGCATTTCCATTGAGCAATTTTCATACAATGTTCCAAAATGCTTATTAAAAAAGGTGAAGGAAAACATTGCTAATGGCAAATTGATAAAAGTTGATATCCATTATGAACATTTTAGTAGAGTAAAAAGAAAAAAAAAGCACCTTTGAAATTTGAACAGGTCCAGAGCTCTCGTCCTGCCCTTTGTGGCCCTTTTCCTTTTTCTTCTTGCGTGTCTTCTCTTTTGTTCTTTTCTATGTTTATAATAATAATAATGAATTATTAAAATCTTACAAACTGTGTAATTAATGCACATATAAGCTGTTCTGTTAAAAAGTCCCTGATCCCTAATGGTTGATTTACACAACACCATTTCCACTACAAACATTAAAAGTTTATGTACTCCACAATTAGAGCTGTGAACCTACACTAGTCTCATGGTTCGGTTCGGTTACGATTATCATGCCATTGATTCGGTTCAATTCGATATTTCGGTGCATCGACGATGCTTTCCATACACAGTTTTATATTTTCTTCACAGCAGCAGTTCTTGTATTAAAATGTATGAATATATTTATATTTATATATTATTTGTAATACAATTTTGTCGTTTAATACAAACAGTCATATATATAAACTGTAACTTTAAACAAAACGAGCATTAAGCAAATAATATAAACAAAGATAAATATCCAGCTCAATTTCTGATCCTTGTCTAGTTCTCTTACACCTCTTTGATTGTAACTTTAAACAAAACAAGCATTAAGCAAATAATACAAACAAATATAAACATCCAGCTCAATTTCTGATCCTTATCTAGTTCTCTTACACCTCTTTGATTGTAACTTTAAACAAAACAAGCATTAAGCAAATAATACAAACAAATATAAACATCCAGCTCAATTTCTGATCCTTATCTAGTTCTCTTACACCTCTTTGATTGGTCACACCCTCAACAAAAACGGTTGCGATTGGCTCTTGCGCACTGCGCTCTTCAGATAAGTGACACTGATAAGCGGCAGGCGGCAGCGGCGATCTCACAGCTGATGCATGATAGACACGGTGGAGAAAACTCTGCAGACACGCGCTCGTTTCTGTATCCAAACGTAATGCTGTAAAACAGCCGAGAGGAGAAGAAAAGCCACCCCAGCAGGTCAAATAGGCCACTGTGTGTGTGTGTGTGTGTGTGTGTGTGTGTGTGTGTGTGTGTGTGTGTGTGTGTGTGTGTGTGTGTGTGTGTGTGTGTGTGTGTGTGTGTGAGAGAGAAAGAGAGAGAGACAGAGCGAAAGAGAGAGAGAGAGAAATTGAGTAGGCTACTTTCATTCTCTCGATCTCAGTGAAATAGGGGCTATTGTTGTATATGTCAGTGAAAGACTGATCCAGCAAACACACACAGTGAATTTGTGCACAGTTTATGAGTTTTAAGTAGTTAAAGCTCTGTAAATACTCGCGATCGCCTCCCTCGCGACAAAGCGCATATAAGGTAAATGACGTCAGTAATAACCGGTTAAGATTATTACTGAATCGATACCGAATTGTCCGCGTCTGCATCGCGATGCACCGAAGAAACGATTAATTTTGACACCCCTATCAACAATAGTGCTTTGGGGGGAAAATCTTTTTTTTAATTGAACTTTTTTTTTTATTTTGAACTTTTATACCCCACACAACATAAAATTCACTATACAAAATCAACATTCAGGAAACTAATGTAAACAAATTATAATAAAAATGATAGCAAAACAAAAATTATAACAAATATAAAATAATACAATACAATATAACAGACAGTCAAATTGACAACCCTTCAATTTTCCTTTTATGTGCTCTCCGAATATTGCAAAAAAACTACCCCATTTATGATTAAAAGTATGGGTGGAGTCCTGAAGTCTTGCCAACAAACGTTCATATTATGCAGTAGAAGTCATCAGTTCAATCCCTAAAAGAGGGAGTATCTGAGTTCTTCCAATTTCGCAGCACTAGTCTGACAGCAATAATACATCCTGTGACGACTAGCCCAGCCTGTGCTTTAGATATTCCGTTCTGTAAAGTGGATGTATCACCAAGAAGACAGACTCTTGGGCAATAGGGTAAAGGATTTTCCAGCCATTTCTCTAGGTTTTGAATAACTCTTGTTCAGAATGGAGCCACCAAATGACAGCTCCACATTAAATGTAAAAAAGTGCCCAGAGAATGACCACATTTCCAACATGGTTATTTTTCATTATTCCTATCCTATGCAGTCTTACTGGGGTCCAGTAATATTGATAAATTATCTTGTAATGTATGAGTTTACTCCTAACATCTCTCACAGTACCCCCTATTCCAGAAACTACTGCCTCCCATTCACCCTCTTCAAACTCCACCTCCAGGAAAAAATTCTTAAATAATCATTCCATACATGTTGTTTGCAGCAATCTTATAAACAAAAGATGTGGTTTGCACCGACTTTGGCATATTTAGAAACCCTAAAAAAACTCTTTCTTCTGCTCCTGCCTTATATCCCACGGACCTTATACTACTATGCAGCTGTATATATTTCCAGAAATCCCCTTTATCTTATAGATTGAATTTGTCTTTCAACTCCTGAAATAAATACAGTGCCCCCTGTCCATATAAATCATCAACTGTTTTCAGGCCTTTTTTACACCAATCCTTCCCTTGGGGGAAAATTAAAAATTAATCTGGGTTCCACAGAATAAAATCCTATTATAACACGTTAGGTCTGCACGATATTGAAAAAAAATCTAACATTGTGACGTTTAGGGGTCCCCCGACACATTTTCGTTGTTATCTGTGCTATTTGCAGTGCATTTTTGTATTTCCATATGTTGTGAGTATTTCAATGCACATGTTTTGTCAGAGATCGATGAGTTAAAGTTTACTATTTGCATTTCCATAAAATCCAATAAACAATCTACAAACTTCTTGGGGTCCCCAACACATCTTTGTTGTGGTCTGTGCTATTTGAGGTGCATTTCTCAAATTGAGGTGTATTTGCATGTGCTGTAAGTTTTGTAATGTATACCAATCTATAAATACAATCAACAAAAGATACAATAAAAACAAAGTGTTTTATCGTTTTACAATTCTAACAGTATTAAAGTATAGTAACTGAATGATAAAAATGAGTCAATAAAAGTCATCCAAAGTTATGGTCACAAATGGGGCAATTTCTTATAACTGAATGTTTTTAAAGTCATTATACAATCACAGGCATCAAAAAGACATGCAAATGATCAATTATGATATAAACTCAACATTGCATGTATCCTGCAATGTGACTTTTGCGAATGGTCACATTGCGATAGCGATGCTGATACCATATATTGTGCAGCCCTATAACATGTTTATTATATTCATTTTTACGTTTGTGCAACCTTTCACTTAACTTTTTAAATTTTGTGTTTATTCGTCAAGCGTTTTTGCTCAAAAAGAGCCTGATACCTTTTTGCCGTGTTTCTCTTTACTTTTCTTTGAAGATTTCCCTCGCTTTTTGCAAGAATCTGCCAGAGGAAGCACAAAACACAGACCATGCATATCAGTTTAAAGAGTTCGTTCTTTTCCAGTAAAGAAATAATTTTTACACTAGTGTTCTTAAACATCATTGTAGTACAAAATGATTTCTGTATTAACCTTACCTGAGCCACTGGAGCTGGAGATACTGTGTGATGAAGAACTGCTAGATGACGATCGTGAAGAAGAAGAGGAGGAAGAGGAAGAAGAGGAGGAGGAAGACGAAGAACTGGATGATGAGGAGGAAGATCTGCTTCTGCTTCTTGCCCGTTTGCGGTTTTCTCTACCTGTTGGTACATATATTTAAAACACTGTAGCTCTAAGAAAATCATGTCTGTGTGTTTTTGTCAGTCAAGGAATGTTACATAGTTTTTACAGTATATAGAACAATTTTTTTAGAGACAAACCTCTGCTGTTAGACCGTCTTCTGCTTTTTGTACTCGACTCACTTCTCTCCGTGGCGTTCACTTTTGCAGACTATAATAAATTTAAATAAATAAATACTATTTTGAACTATTTAATACATAAACATTGGGCTGTTTAGAAAGAATTTACGTTATCACAACATTTTATACTGAGGTAAAGTTGGTTTTATATCCACACATTCGTTCAACGAAAACTTGTGACACTTGTTTACTACGCACAGTTTACCACACAATATGCGGTCTGAAATAGCATAAGTTATATGACTTCAAATCAACAATAGCAGTATTTAATTAACTTGGAACAATTTTGTCACTGCTTGCTTTTTATAATTAGCAAAGAATGCTTTTCTGAAGTAATATTATTAAGGAGAAAGTCCGAATGTGCGAAAATAAAACTAGTTTTACCCCAATACATAAACTGATGCTCATATTGAATAGCAATTGCCATTGTAAAGACATGGTCCCGATTTAACAAGCTTAATGGTTGTAGGACATTTACACGTTATCTACAAAAAACGGTAAATAACAAAAGTTAGTCAAAGCTTATACATCTAAAGGTTTACCGACACTGGATTAAATTTGAGCAGTTCAACTCTTTAACTTACCATGTTTATGATGTGTCGTATCCTTCCGACCACTACAAAAACACAAAAATCAGCCTGATAAACTGATCTGAATATATTCCTTTCTGAAAATAAACTGCGGTGAAAATAAACGCTTGTTTTTCATTTCTATGATCGGTTCATGCGTATCAATAACATAAACACCACTGCGCGGCCATCTTATTTTACGTCACACACAAAAAGTATCCGGGTACTGTTTTACTGCGCAGGCGCGTGGCCCAGACGAGTTTATTATAAGATTTTCCTAATATATATATAAATGCCTGGCGATGCTGGGCCAATCATAGCCGTATAATGCCACACAATCCCGAATGAACATTAAAGCAATATTACACGATAACAATATTCTGTGGTAAAATGTGCCACAAAATGTTTTATTGTAGTATAAAATGCCAGTTTTAACGGTCCTTTTAACGGATCTACAGGCTGCATACATATTTATGTTTGGTTTGGACCGAAATTGTCTAATGAGGCTGCAGATGGCGCCAACGATTAAACTTTAGGCTGCGGCTAATGTGGTGTCGGTCCTGCAAAAATCAGCTTCAACCCCCAATCAAAAACACGCAAACCAGTTCATCAATTTATTCAGGCTTACTTGATAATAATAGTCAGGTTTTTCAGAAAACCGATGAAAAAATTGCTTAAACAATTGCAATTGAGTAAAACAACACAAAAAGTAATTTAAGAGACCAGGAGACCATTCAAAATGTATTTGAAAGGTATGCTATTGTTTTCAGTCGCCAAGTATACATCTGTAAAAATATTGCTTTGCTGCATATATTTCTTTTATTAATTGTGTTTTCATCATAAGAAATATTGCCAAAATAAACTTAATATAGGCATAGGCTATGTTCTTTTCAGCTTAGTCCCTTTATTAATCTGGGGTCGCCACATCAGAATGAACCACCAGCTTATGTTACATGTTGTACACAGCAGATGTCCTTTCAGCCGCAACCCTTCACTGGTAACATCTATACACACTCATTTACACACACACATACATACACATGGTCAATTGCATACACAATTCATCCAATTCACCCAATTCATGTCTTTGGTTATATTGGGGAAACCAGAGTACCCGGAGGAAACCCACAGGAACATGGGGAGAACATGCAAACTCAACACAGAAATGCCATCTGACCCAGCCCAGGCTCAAACCAGCAACCCTCTTGTTGTGAGGCGAACATACCCACTTTGCCACTCATATATTATAAAAGTGGAAATTCCATTTATTAACTTCAAAAATCAAACACATTAGCCTACTTCATGGCATTTATTATAGCTCCAATATATTTTCTGTTTTTATTTTAATAAAAATAAATAAATCCTTTTTGGATTTCAGAAATAACCCACAAAAAGCAGTAACAATAAAAAAATAAAAATAAAAAAAACGGATCATTTTTACTTATATTTGAGCTCTAGTAATAATTCAAATTCATGATATTGGTATGATGGTGAAGCAGTGGCGCAGTAGGTAGTGCTGTTGCCTCATAGCAAGAAGGTCGCTGGTTCGAGCCTCTCAGTTGGCGTTTCTGTGTGGAGTTCGCATGTTCTCCCTGCGTTCAAGTGGGTTTAATAAAGGGACTAAGCAGACAAGAAAATGATATTGGAATGATTCCTGAAGGATCATGTACAGTAAAAGCTATTTGGACAATTAAATGGCTGATTCATTCACTAATATTCTTGTCGGCTTATTTCCTTTATTAATCTGGGGTCGCCACAGTGGAATGAACCGCCAACTTATCTAGCACGTTTTTACACAGCGGATGCCCTTCTTGTGAGGCAACGGCACTACCTACTGCACCACTGCGTCGCAGAAATGGCTGATTTATTAGTCATTTTTGAGCGAGATGCTAATTATCTAATCCAATTCAAAGATTTATGCTAAGTTAAGCTTAAAGTGCTTTCGCCAGACCTAGAGATCGGCTATATTAAAAAAATTATCAAATTCAACTGTTTAATTCTAGGTGTTCCTTTAAGCTCAGCAGTTATAACAGCGGAGACTCCAGTCAGCACATGTGTTTTTTACTTACCAGTTTGTTTGGGAGAGAGAGCTTAATAAACTGAACTGTGTCAGATAAGAGGGAGAATAGGTAGATCAGGGAACCAAAATAATAAAATAAATTCAGAGAGGTCCATTTTTTATATAAATGACAGTAAAAGTTTAATACATTCACAAATATTTCATATACAATAAAGTGATGAGGTTTGGGAGTGAGGCATGTAGGAACATACATTCAAAGACAAAAATTGAATCAGTAAATCAGCTTGCAATAAGTCTACAATGATTTTACAATGATAACATTTGGTAGACTTATTAAATACAAGCAGTGACTATCTGATCACGTCTGCTTATTAGTACTGTGTGCAGAATGTTCATGAAAAGCTGTAAAAGAGTTTATATGTGACCCTGGAACACAAAGCCAGTCATAAGCAGATGCATGATTTGTTTTAGGACAATATTTGACTCAGATACATGTATTTGAAAATCTCAAATCTGAGGATTCAAAACATCAAACGCATTGAGAAAACTGCTTTTGAAGTTCTCCAAATAAATTTTTTTTAACAATGCATATTTTAATCAGAAATTAAGTTTTAAAATAATACAGTTGGTAATTTACTAAATGTTCTCTTGAAACATGATCTTTACCTAATATTTGAATCATTTTTGACATAAAACAAAAATGATGAAATGTATTTTTGGCTATTCCTATATTTGGCTATTCCTATACATGCAAATCAAGATTTCGTGCTCCAGCGTCACATACTGTATGTAAAGTTCTTGTATGGCATTATACATGTACAATAATTCTGACAATAAAGCTTCAAAGATATAAAGTACAGTGACCCCAAAAAAAACACACTTTTGAACAAGTATTTGGACCCAAATCTCAGTAAAAACAAAACATGCTTGAGCCTTTCCTCAAAATAACTCCACAAATGTCTTCTAGCAAAGTATGCACTAAAAAATGTGAAAAGCAAGCATTTTTATATATTTCTTATACAGATTTTACATGTTTTATATGTTTATTTTTCTTCTTGGGGCCACTGTAGTCACCTGAGCGCATTTTATAGTTTGAGTACTGTGTGAAAATTCAAAAGACAGCATTAAATTTGTTAGTTTTTCAGGATACAACAGTTACAAATACTTCATATATCATTGGATAAAAGATTATCGCAATTATAAGCAAAAATAATTGTTACAAGAAGATCTCTCTTTCAATGTAGACTAATAGGCATACTTGTAAAAAATCAAAACATTATGAAATTATGAAAGCTGGGTTTGTAAAAAAAAGCTTATTCAATCCTAAATGAACTACTCTGATAAAGGACACTTAAGAAGTCTCACACTGGCTCAGATTTTTGGCACATTACAGTGAGCAACTAATCAGTAAGTCAGTATCAGTGTTCAGCAGATGACAACGAAAACTGACCTACATTAAAGTTTAAAGTATAGTTTACCCCAAATATGAAAATGCACTCACCATTTCCTCAACCTCAAATGTCTCCAAACCTGTTTAAGTTTCTTCTGTTGAATGCTAAACAAGATTTTCTGAAAAATGATGGGAAAAAAGCCGCCATGTATTTTAGTAAATAAGTACTTTTCTTAATATTTTCAGCTGTTTCCCCCCCAACATTCTTCAAAGTATCTTTTTTGGTGTTTAACAGAAGAAGGTAGATTGTGAGGTAATTTTTATTTCTGAGTGAACTATACCTTTAACTTTTGTTAAAACATTTTTAATATCCTTACATTTAGCTTTATAATACCTAATCCTGAAAGGTTTTACACAACATTTCTCAGTTAAATAACATGACTTGTTTGTGTTTTTCTTTTTTAGCTACACATATTTAAAAAAAAAAAACACCCATTTTAAAATGAACACATGTCAGTGTTCATTGTTTAGAAGTGGTGTGAATGCTGATGGCTGAAATTCTCCTGAGTTGGTTATTGGACCGGGTTTCTTGTTTCGAAAAGCTGGTTTATTGTAAATCTTCAAGCCTCTGCTTTGTTCTTGGAATAATCGCCATGAGTCAAACGCTCTTCAGTTTCCTCTTCCTCCTCAGGTACCTGCAGATTAAAAAAATGTAAAAAAAAAAAGTAAAAAAATAAAATAAAAAAATGTAAATTTCCCTGGCAAATTCCCACTCCCAACTCTGCACATTTGGCATGTCTAACATGTAAAATCTTAGAAACCTTTTTGAATGCTCTGTTTTGGTTAGGAGTGTGTATCAAATTGGCACGGTCACACAGATTTATTCCCCAATGGGATGTATGTATATATATATATATATATATATATATATTAGGGATGCCACGGTTCTCAATATAATATTGAACCGTTCGGTACGACATCCATGGTTCAATATGTGCTTGTGAATTGCGATTTTCTCGGTTTTGCGTTTAAATAATTTAAGTGCATTTTATATTTCCCTGAATTGACTGTGTGTGCCTGTAAGTCCATGAGCTGACATGAGGAAACTTCTCCCTGCGAGTAAATATCTAATCACTATGCTCTAAAGTTAGGGGCGCTTAACCATCATTCCATACTTTAACATGGGAAGCGGCGGTGAAGTGAGGCTAAGGCAACAATACAAGGAGTTGCCGGCAAAGTGAGGCAGAAGCGCCAGCGTCTTTTAAATCTGCGGTGTGAGGACATTTTGGTTTTGCCGGTAAGTATAATGCCAATAAAAGAAAAAACGGTGAACGAAAAAAAAACTGTGTGCAAGCATTGTTTTACACATATAACCACTGCACATCTGCAGCGTCATCACCTAGCAATATCACTGTCTGAAGGCAGGATAGTAGAGTAGTTAATAAAGTCCTCCAAATAGCAACAATCCCTCGCTGAATCTTTCGAGCAAACATACCCAACTAGTTCAGAAAGACACAAAAATAACAAAGGCAGTGCGGGTGTTTATTGCTAAAGATTTGCAGCCGTTTTCGGTGATTGGAGGTTTGGGCTTTTGTCATCTTATAAAAGCACTCGAGCTGCGTTACAGACTACAGTCTTACATTTTTTTCAGCACAGAGATAATTAAGATGGTTTATTTATGTTTATTTAAGTAGAAATATGTTTATTTAAAATGGCCAATTTATCTTTATTAACTTCACATGTATGTTTATTTTCAAAATATAGGATTTTATGTGTTCCCCAGTTTGCACATGGGCTGCCAGCAGCTGTAAGATTTCAGTGTTATTTTTTTAATACAATACACTAGGAACTAGTGTACTTTTCTTGGCTTGTAAAACAAAATGAGTATTGCAATAAATCGATTTATTTTTTCTCCTTAATCTCCTATTGTTCCAATTGTCTATAGAAAAAAAAATCATGTTAAAAAAACAGAGGTATTTATTAAACCATGGGCTAACTGTATTGTTGCATCCCTAATATATATAGAGAGCTTCAATACCAGACTGTGATACAGTTGGTCAGGATGCTTTCTATTGTGCAGCGGTAGAAGTTCACCAAGACGGCTGATGAAAGCTGGTTCTTCTTAAGTTGCCTTAAGAAGAATAGGTGCTGGCGAGCCTTCTTGAACAGGCTGGAGGTGTTGGTGGTCCAGAAAAGAAGGTCTTTTGAGATATGGGTCCCCAGGAACTTAAAGGATGAGACAGGCTCAACGGCCATCCCATTGATGTGACTGGGATCGTGTGAGCCTGTTCGTCCCTTCCTGAAGTCCTTGGTCTTGTTGGTGTTAATGATTAGCAGATTATTGTCTGTGCACCAAGTGGTTTTCTCAAATTATCATTAAATGTGGAGCTAACAAATTACTATAAAATAAATATTTAATCGATTGTCATCAGTTTAACAAGCCGAGTCATTGCCAGAAGCGACCCGGACTCTACACACAGACTCGGGCCAGATATGGTTAACAGGAATCGGGCCAGTGTTTTACAGCCGCATCATGTGCAGGAGCGAGCTGCGGGCAATACTCGGCCCGTATAACACTCGCTGATGCCGAGTCGGAGCCAGAGGCGCTGAAGGGCAGCCGAGCTCGGGCCGATTACTACCTGCTATCTGGGACTAGCCACGATGGAAGAAATTGTTTTGTTTTTAGCAGTTTATGTAATGGTATGGCTCTGATGTGTGTGTGTGTGTGTGTGTGTGTGTGTGTGTGTGTGTGTGTGTGTGTGTGTGTGTGTGTGTGTGTGTGTAGTTGAAGATAGCCTTTGCCTGTGTCCATACTGGTGTTGGAGAGAATAAAGTTGTTCTATGTGTATTAATAGCGACAAAAAGCAAAAGTTACAACACGAAGTTCGCCCAACTTTAAAATGTTTTTGAGGAGGAGGGATTTTGAGGAGGAGGTGGGAAAGGGCCGTCATCGTTGCTTGCGCTTATGGCTTATATGCTTTATGATGTCCTCCACCATTCAGAGGAATATGTGGGTACGAGAGAGATCTCAGGTCTGGTGAGAGCAAATTCTCGCAACTGACCACTTTCCTCCTCTGTGTTTCCTCTGATGTTGTTTACCGCACCAGCATCTCCACACACTCTTTTCCTTCTACGTCATTAAACTGCGGAGAAGCACCACATTGTCGCAAGTTTAATGATGTACAGAACGGAATGCCTCAATAAATTCGATCTGCCTGTTTACATGACAGTCGCATTGTCACATGTCCGATCTATATCTGATTTATTTCCACATATGAAGGAGGCCTGAAACCGATCTCTGAATATCCGAATGCATGCGTTTTTTTCGTGTTTACACGGTCATAGAACAGATCTGATCTGTGTCACATATAAGCAAAAAATCGGAATTGGGTCACATTTAAATGGCAGTGTAAACAGGGCCTAACATTCTGAAATCTGTTAGTCAGACGAAGGGTTACTTCTGTAACCTCGAACGTTCCCCTACGGTTGGGGAACTTCAGTGCCATAGAGTGGATTGATTGAAATCCACGAATGGGAGAAGTATGAAAAGCGCCATAATGACTGCACCTTACCAACACCCCCGATGAGGGGATAGTCAAGCAAGCGTGACGCACCCACATCATGGGAGGCGCAGTCCTCCAACGTGTCCCTGGCCCTAATTTATCCTACTTCGACAGAAGTCTTACGGATTTAGATATATTTTTTGGGAAGTCGTGAGCATCTAGATAATTCTAGGAAAATACGACAGTACGTTGGGAAGCGTGCAATCCCGATAGGGAGGACGCTGCGGAGGCCATTCGTTACCCAAGGGGGGATAGATGGCAGAATTTACATATGGACTAGCCCTAAAAAGGGGTAGTACGCATAGCAAAAGAGTGGTTAGCGGAGAGGGAAGACACGGGTCCGCCCAGGGGGGAGGACTTAACCGTGGCGGAATAAGCATATGGGATCGCCTAGTGGGGATCACGCATAGCAGGCACCTTTACCCAAAACTTGGGCTGGTTCAGCGGGCAGACCTACAACGTAGTGGGCCAGCAAGTGACTCCTCCGCTGAGTCAGTGCTGGGGGCCACGGAGGAATCTGCAGGACTCACCTGACGGGGAACTTTACTGACAGATAAAAAGGCGCACGTACCTCCGTGTTAGGGAGAATGGCACAGCAAGCGTGTTTCAACACCCTACCGAATTGTTTCCTCAATCACCAAGGGTTACCTAATACCCTTGAGGAAACCGGCTCCACTCGCAGATTGTAAAACCTTGCAAATGTGTTGGGTGTCACCCAGCCCGCAGCTCTACAGATGTCTGTTAGAGAGGCGCCGCGTGCGCGCGCTCGAGAGGATGCGAAGCTCCGAGTGGAGTGCGCACGCACTCTCGGGGGACGCGGCTCACCTCGGCTCTGATAGCGAAAGAAAGGCATCCACAATCTAGTGGGAACTTATTTCGGTACGGCACTTCCCTGCTGCCGACCGCTATAACAGACAAAGAGCTGCTCAGATGATCTAAACTCTGAGTGCGGTCCGGATAATAGGCAAAACGCGAACTGGACAATAAAGAAGGGCTGGGTCTGCCTCCTCCGAGGGCAGCGCTTGCAGGCTCACTACCTCGTATTAAAACGGAGTGGTAGGAACCTTGGGCACATATCGCGGGCGGGGTCTCAGGACGTGAGAGAAAGCCAGCCCAATTACAGGCACGAGTCACTGACCGAAAAATGCCTCCGGGTCCCCGACCCTCTAATCGATATCAACGCAACCAGCAGAGCTGTCTTCAGGGACAGAAAGATACTGAGTCGAGGATCGAAGGGATCTGATGCGGCTTGTGTAGCGAGATCCTAAGAGGGCATGAGAGGGGGCGAGGTGGATTAATTCGCTTAGCGCCCCTGAGGAACCGGATGATGAGGTTATGCGTTCCCACGGTGCTGCCAGCCACCGCGTCATGAGAGCGGAGATGGCAGCCACGTAACCTTGAGTGTGGAGGGCGACAGCATGCTCTCCAGCTTCTCTCGGCGTAAAGAAAGCACAACGCTGATCTGGCAAATTACGGGGGTCTTCTCTGCGAGAGACACACCATTCAGTGAAAAGACTCCACTTCAGGGCATAGGCGCGCTCGGGGAGGGGGCTCTAGCCCGAGTGACGATATTAGCCACCGCAATCGGAGGTTACCTAAGTCTTCCTCGCGTCTAAGGACCTCCAAAGATCGGCGAGGGTGCCAGATGGTGCCCTGTCTCTGAGAGAGTAGGTGCTCTATCGAAGGGACTGCCAGGGGAGGGCTATCGCGAGGGAGAGCTCTGACATCCAGGTCCGGTTGAGCCGAAGGGGCGCAACCAGCAACCTGTTCCTCGTCCTCCCTGACCTTGCACAGTAACTGCGCGAGCAGGCTCACTGGGGGAAACGCGTATTTGCGCATGCCCCGAGGCCAGCTGTAAGCCAGTGCATCCGTGCCGAGAGCACTCGGTCAGGGAAAGAACAACTGGCAATGAGCGATCTCGGGGGAAGCAACAGATGGAGTCTCCATTCTCCAGGACGTAAGGCTGCCGTGAGAGCGCATCGGCTGCATGGTTGAGCTTGCCTGAATATGAATGGCGTGCAGCGATTTCAGCCGCGGATGACCCCAGAGGAGCAGACGGTGGGCGAGCTGAGACATGCGGCGAGAGCGGATACCCCCCATACGGCTGATATACGCCACCGCCGCCGTACTGT